TTGGATAACGTCTGTTATGTGTTGTACTTAATTGTGTATATTATATTTTAGGAATATTCCTTAATAACTCTTTTGCGAAAGTTTGGTGGCCCTGAAAAGGGCCGTTTTGTTGGGCTGATGATGTTGTTGTACTCTGTCGCCCTGGAGGAGCTTTGGAATGATGTTGGTAGTTCGAAGACAGACAGCATCTCCCCTTCCAGCGTTCCCACACCCCAGTATAGTCCCTAAATTTAAGTGTAACTGTGATATTCTGGAAAGAAATTGAGCTTGAGCTTGAGCTTGAGCTTGGATGACCGTACATTTCAGTAGTTGCTACTCCGTGATTGACAAGAACCAGCGAAATTGCACATAGATCCAAACGAATGGGGCTGGGATGAGCTATCCATTCTCTATGTACACGTTTCGAAGGTTCAATACTTTATATGGTCAATAACGGCACCGGCCACGTTCTTACGGTCATCGGGGGAAGGGAAGGATTGTTAGTTCGACAACCGTTGTTACTAGAGACCGAATACACCTCTGCATCTCCACGGTTGTCACAGGAGGGACGTTTTGTTAGTAGGGAGGATAAATGAGATCTGGAATCACTTTGGAAAGTGACGCGATCTTTTAAAGCCTGACAATAAAATTATGCAATCCTACGAGCACAATTGTGTAAGGGGCTTGGGATTAAACCCATGATTTTCTGCCCCGTAAGCAAAAACGGCTACCATTAGGCCACCAGGCCCACTTTTATCACATAAGACTAATACGACCGACAACAGTGACGCGATCTTTTAAAGCCTGACAATGAAATTATGCAATCCTACGAGCTCAATTGTGTAAGGGGCTTGGGATTAAACCCATGATTTTCTGCCCAGTAAGCAAAAACGGCTACCATTAGGCCACCGAGCCCACTTTTATCACATAAGACTAATACGACCGACAAAAAAAAACACATATAAACAAATGGCTTACAAAATGGAGAAACAATCAGCGAACCATAAGCGCCAGTTAGCTGAGGCAAAGTGAGACGCGCTGTGTCTTGCAACCTCCGAAGTAATACGATAAGTGGTCCCGGAAGATTACGGTCAAGGTGTCCAAGGCTTCTTGAAGCTTTCCTAAATCGTACTATTCATACATACATATACATACATGTATATATAGTCATAAATAAATAAATAAATAAATAAATAAATCAATAAATAAATTAATACATTCATACATACATACACATACTTATAAATGCACATAAACATACACACATACATATACATATACATACCCAACATATATACATTATTTGGCAACCTTGTCTACCCGGAATCAGGGATGTGCTGCAATGCCTGAGCCGACCCTAAAGACCCATCATCATCACAAATACTTTCAAACTCTTGACAGCTCAATTTGCGCCAAAATTACTACCAATCTGATTTCAATATACTCGGTGCTTTTCTCAGTTAACACTTGTTAAGCCACGCAGTCAGTTCATTTTGGTTTTAGATCCCTTATTGCTTTTACGAACAGGAATGGATTTTGAGAGAGATAATAACGGAACACGTTTTTGGTTATTAAAAATCCCAGGAGATGGAAATTGCCTTTTTGGGTCGATTGTTCATCAAGTTTTCGGGATACCCCCGAGTCACAAACTCTATGCTTTGTACTGTCTACAAATGAGACAGGCAGCCGTCGAAGAAATTCGCAGAAATATGGAATACTACTTCGTAACACTTTCTGAATTCGCTATGGAAATCATAAAGCCTGGTATTACCATCAAGGAAAAGGTGCATATCTACATGGAAAATTTACAAAGACCAGGATTTTGGGGAGGAGCAGAATCAATTTCAGCCCTTTCTAATCACTTCAAGGCAATTATTGTTATTCATCAGAGTGACGCTGAGGTCGAATTCGTTCCCACAAATTACGATACTACTGCTGCTCCACGGTACCATTTATTCTATCGTGGCGTCTTGAATTCAAGAACCCACTATGACAGCGTGGTATGCTTCCGGCCTCATGCGCTAGATTTAGTTCCTCCAACTGGCTATCAATCCGAAAGAATTCGCACCCTGGAGTCTGATGCTTTGTTAGTTCGGTTTAACGGTCCAAACTCTTCCGTTTGTTCTGTAATGCATCAGTTGTGTGGTAGTTTGCCATCTGAGGAGACTCTAACTATCGTTAGATATTTGATAGCCGAAGAAATTGAGAGACACCCCGACTCTATAGTTCAATCGTGTGGGTTACCCTATGAATCACAGGAGGAGGTATCCCATTTTGTATTCCTACTACGTATAGGCCACGCTTGTTGTGCTTGCTGCGCTGTTTGGAATAAGAATATATGTCCATAGTCCTTCACGGAATACTTTCCGTTACGATCCAGCAGCCCGTGACCCTGTTCTCACTATACATGTACTTGAAGATTTGGACAGTATTACTGGTGCTTATGGCAGCATCTTGGCCTTATATCGATACTATGAAGCCTCTGGTTCACGCTGTCGGCGTCTTCCTGATCCACTGATAGTGGCACAAAAGCTAGCGCGTAAAGAGATTTCCGATTCACAGCTGACTCAACATCTTCCGATCCTGATTGACGCAAAGCATGGTATCCGCTTCGCATCATGGAACGTTAACGGTTGTCGAAAAGTGAGTAAGCGTGAAACTATTGACGCTGCATTGCTGGTTCAGAGAGTCGTTGTTGCAGCTCTACAGGAGGTTAACTTGGATTTCCAAATGATGAGTACTGCGAATTATCGATGGATCCTGGGGCATCCTGCATCTAGCAGGAAGCGTGGCTTAGCCATTCTCATACGACACGGTGTTGATATGGAGATTATAAAATACGATGATGCTGGACCATCCCTACAGTGTTTAGAGGTTTCTTACAAGGTATGATATAGAATAATATACCATAAGTTATTATTAACTTCATTTATATATTGTATCTCATTCTATGTAGATTGGATCTGCTCGACGGTGCTTGTTAGTAATAAACGTTCATGGTCCAAATCGAAACGCTGAATGTTTCTTCGCAGAACTAGGTAGATTGTTATGCCAACCCAACAAACAATTGCCTATTGAAGAAACGACTTTTTGACGGTTTTTTTTTTCCACTTCATGCTTAATAATACTTGTACTATTTTTAATAATAACTTCTGATTCACACAAATCTGGAGAATTTATTCAACCACATCGAAATATTTGGTGTTGAATAAGGTATGTCGAGAAGCTTTTATTCGACTTACAAAAGTTGTAACAGAGCTTTATTCGATCAAATTTTTGATTATTCAGCGTTTACTAGACATCATTATTTCCTTAAACAGCGATGGTATTAAAGGTGTATATAGACGCTTAATTCTCATGTGAAATAATGTTTAATTAGACACTGTAACTGTGATATTCTGGAAAGAAATTGTCTTCAAAACTAACTCTCGAATTATTGGTGGCCCTGAAAAGGGCCGTTTTGGTTGTGGTTTTGGAATGATGGTTATGCCGAGCATGGGTACCGGATGGCGATGGCGATTTTGATGAGCGGTTTGCATGCCGGGCGCTTTGCTTCAACCACGAGTGCGGTGAACTCCGGGTAAATATTATTACCAATCAGTAGAACAGCGCTAGGTGGTATGATGAACCGGGAAATCCACTCGAAATGTCGAGAGGGTAGATGGTTGTTTTGGAGGTTGTGATGAGGACGATTTTGGAACGGAACGGGTTGTGCTCGATGATGCATTGTTCTTCTTCACACAGTCTGTGAAGACGGGTTCGATTCTGAAATAAGTTTAGTAGACATGCAATAAAAATTAAATCTATGGCTCTGCGAAGATTCAACTTTCGATATTCAAGTGTCGGAAAGGCATTAGAAAATTAATCGTTAAACTCTTTCTTGATAATGTTGTGGCCCTGAACAGGGCCATTTTTCCAACGCGCTCGGCGTAGTTGCCCTTGCGGAGCAGACGGTGAATACGACCGACTGAGAACTGCAGCAGCTGGGCATTCCATGACGGCGGCCCAGTATACCGGAGCACTGGTACCAACGCACTCGGCGTAGTTGCCCTTTCGCCCCCAGGCTCTGCTGCCGCTGCTCTGCTGCCGCTGCTCTGCTGCCGCTGCTCTGCTGCCGCTGCTCTGCTGCCGCTGCTCTGCTGCCGTTGCTCTGCTTCCGCTGCTCTGGTACTGCTGCTCTGCTGCTCTGCTGCTGGGTCGACGATCGGATAGACAATGATGGAACGGGCGACCTTGTTCGACGCTTATATAGTAGAACAGAAAATATCAGAGGTGTCAGATACTCGCATCTGATGTCTCGGTTGGAGAAAGTATAAGAATATAAAAAAATCAATCGATTTTCACCATCTTTAGACAATGGTTTACTTTTAACCATTTTTCAATAGTTTACAGAATGAAATCAATAGTTTTAAAACATTCAGCAAATTGCTAGAAACATTTCCAATCGATTGATGCCATTATCTCGTAAATCTATCTAGAGACGGTTAAGTTATTATCGTTCAAAATCTTTTAATTTTTCGTAACGCATCCAAAATGACTGTTTTCAATTTTGTACCCCCGTATGTTGCCGAAAGACGTTATCCAACGTCAAAAAAAGGCCATCAAAAGGAGTTCGGTAGCAATCTGGCACCGCTTCTATCACCCACATGTACGTGTTTGTGTGCGGCCTTTCTACGATACACGCTGTAAACATTCAACACTGGCTTGGTATCATTCCGCACCACATGCAAGCTGCTTCCAAATCGCCGTCTACTTCGACGCTGGTTCGAGGTTGGTTTCTTCTGAGAGCCATCGGAGAGAGCGAAATCAAAACCCTCACAATGTGCGCACTCATATACTCGCTTGGATGATCGGTCGGTCGGTGGTTCGAATCGAAGCCAAAAAGGAGCGCAAAAGAACAAAACGTATTTGCGACGGCAGCCATCAGACCAGCATACAGCGAACGAACACAGGGGCGGTCAACTTCAATCGACGGCTGCCTGCCTGACTACTCTTCTCTTTTGAAGCGTTCTCCGTCCGTCCGCCCGTCAGTGCCATCCGTCCTTCCGTCGCTGAACGGATCGATTCAACTTCAGTCAATCGGAGTCTCGAGTCAGTCATTGAGAAACGGTTGACGAGTACGGACGTGCTTTTTCGCAGCTCGATTTTATCCAGTGTGTGCGAATATCGGGCGTTCGGTTACGGAGTTACAGAACTCTTTGAAGTGTGCGCCACTTACCTTCCTAGACGGGGTTTTTGCGCAAAAGATTAGAATCGGTTGTAATGCTGACGATGTGGTGTATGGAGTTTGAAGAGGGTGAAATTTGATTGAAAAAATTAAAATATATCGTAAAAGTGAGCCAGTTAGAAGAAGTTTTGAGTGATTCTTTATGAGGGTTTGATGCGAATCGTACAATGAGCGTTGTTTAGAAGCAAAAAACCCGCAAAGTGCAGTGAGTCTGAAGTCTGAAATATCGAAAAGAAGCAGTGATTGTTGATAGTCGAGAAACCATGGCAACGCAGGGCGATTTCAGAAGCCTGCTAGGATTAATGCTGTCAGTTTTTTTCGTGGTGCATTCGGTTAGGGCAGTGGAAGAGCTCAAATGTGAACTGATCACGGTTTCCGCTTGCCAGAATCTGGTGTACAACATGACGGTGGCTTCGGCACCGATTGCAACGACCAATGGGTCGGGAAATTCAACCGGATCCGGTGAATCCAATGGTGAACCCGGTGCAATCCGGTCGCAACTCGATGCAGAGCTTTTGGTAAGTGGATTTCCGTTTCCAGAACTGCACGGTGAACTTTGGAACTGGGGAAATCTTATCAGTAAGATGAGCGCTGTTTATTGGGCTATGAAGTCGGGCAGAAGATACAACAGAACGCTATCAGTCCAGAAACAGACAATCGGGGGGCTCTGCTGTTAAGAGAACGGGCGTGTTGTGAAGAGGAGTGGAAAATATACGGGGCAAAAAACACCGCATGTAGTTTTGATGCGTTCAAACCGGTTGTGGTGCTTCGCGCTCGCTAATGGTACCACTATGGGCGCGATTAACAGCAATTTGAGGGTTTAGTTCTTTTTTAAATCAAGAAAAATTCTTCCGCCTCAGTTTGATCAATGAATTTGAAATAACACCTTATCAGTTAACACCAAAATGGGTAAGTTAACCACTTGCAAACGCATTTCGCCCATAGTTAACTATCTCTTTTTGACTTCATTCTCCTGTCTGTCTCTGTTTTGTTGTTGTTGTTGGTATCTTCTTCTTGTGCTCTGGCGGTTTTGAACTGTGCGCGCCCCGATATTGCGGTACGTACGGGGCGCGATTCGCTTCCATACAGAAGATATTTTGTTTTTTACGTTCCTCTTCGGTGGTTATGGGGCGGGGTGGCGGAAGTGGTGGCGGCGGCGGCGGCGGCTATCTGCCAAAGCGAAAAAATAGCAGCGAATTGCTTTTAAAGTATTATTTTGTTCCTCTGCGGCGGTGGCGGCGCATGGGGCACACTAGCGGTAAAATGCCAGGCAGCGGGCATTGAAGGGGCGGCGCGGAAAGATTCCGCCAGTCGCGGTCAGATTCCGGGCGATTTTTGCGCTTGTTTTGAAATCGACTGTTTTTCTTCAAGCGGGGTTGAATCATTTTTTTTTTCTTGTTGCTCCCTGTTCAGGAAATAATAAAGTAAGATTTAATTCTGTTTACGCCGTCTGAATCATGCTGTCAGTAGCGGTTTTCAAAATGCTGTCATAAACCAGGGTCGCCATGTAATCGAGATCAAAGGGTGGGTGGATTTAGGTACAAGGCTTACTGCCAGCGCCGCCGCCGCCACCGCCAGGCAAACTGAGAGAATAGAACCTTATCAGGGACGCAAAAATATGTTTGCGGTCATAAATTCGTATGTAGCTATCTTATCTATATAGCCTTTTATATAAATATTTCCTTCGCACAGACGACAGCGTGGAAATATGCCGACAAAGGCCTTCTCGTATTTCTTATGGATGCGCGCACCGTACGAAGCGGAGCGCTCCACCACTGCCGGTAATTGCAATATCAGGTTTCGACGCTTCGGCTTCGCTTCGACTGATAATTGGTATTTAATTGAACAATTATAGCTCCATCTACGAGCTGATGGTCGCGGACGAGCTTTCATCCACCCGGAGAAAAGGAATCTCGCACTTGACAGCGACCGCATCAATTTTGGTCATAAACGGTTCTAATTGATCCACTTTCTTCCACATGCAGTGTTTCTGTTTACTCTAAGTAGATTCTTCGACGCCATTGATTGCGGGGCGTTTTGGTTTGGTTTACCCGCTCGCACTTGAGGCGAAGAATGGCGTAGATAAGATTGTGGCGGTGGCGGCTCGCTGCCTTTGAACTGCTTCTTCCACCCGGTTCACTCTGGGAAATAGCGTCAAAAAGCTTTTAGCAGAGCTACGCGATATGACTAACGTCTTTGCACACAATTTAGTAAAACAAAAACCAGCCTACGAACCGGCTTATCAAAGAGATGGCCCGTCGCAAGATTTGGCAGCTGGACATGATTCTTCGATCGATCGATCCGGTCGATCGGTGTCTCCAGTTCACGCTCGCGTGGAATCATCGGTCTCGCCAAAGTCAATTAGAGCGTCCGCGGTCACGCTTCGCGCTAAATTGGCCTGCAAAAACAAACATCCGCAATTGAAAACACAGCAATGCCGGCAGGTTGCCGGTTTCGCATAGATGCCTCCTAGGAGATAGAGAAGCGGATGCCCTTATAAAGCTAGTCCCGTCACCGACACCGTCATATCGGCATCAACGTTACCGTCGCCGTCGTCGGAGTATGGACACTCTTCACGGCTTGTCATTTTAATTGCATTCTAATTCACTCTCCTGTGCCGTGGCCAAGTACGGCTTGTATGTATGTACCGAGATCGAGCGCCTTCCCCAATTATATCGCATCACATCTTGCGGTTTTCTTCGGAGCATGTGCGGATCGGTTGGAGTTGGTTTGTTCTGCAAATGGGAAGGAGAATGAAGTAATTAATAGCACCGTCGTTGGTTTTCGGGCAAGCCTGGCGGGGAAGGGTGGCGCTAGTCGAGGGTGGCCGTAGAACCGTTACGGTGTGGGATCAATGTCGATCGAATGTCGGGAAGGAGAAAGGGCGGTAATCGAACCGGTTAAACGGCAGTTTGCTAACTGGCAGTATGGTTTCTCTGTGGTATGGTTGCTCGATGATTGCTTACAACCGGAGTCTGGAACCAAAAATCGTTCCAGTCTTAGAGTTATCGTTAGGCAGATTTTGACGTTTATTTCTCCTTCTGGTATTTGTTGACTTGTTGATACCTCAGATGGACGAAGTTGCTCGCCTTTTACAAACAGCAAATTTGGGGCGTTTGAGAGATACATAGTGCACTAACCTATCTAGCTTTCCACGCGTGGGAATACATGTATCCTTCACTGTGGTTTTTGACACTAATAGCATAGAGGTAACTCTAAGACCACTGGGTCCCGAAGAAAATCATTATTATTTTTGGCTCACTCAGTACCAGAACAACGGTCCCAAGCAGTCCCAAGCTATTTCACTCACCCCTGCATGTTCTGCATGAACCCACACACCCCTGATGTTATCTGTCAAACTTTCATAGCGAATCAAAACAAACATAGTGTAGTAATAGAATTTCAACTAGAATAGGGTACGTTAATGGTTTGCTTGGGACCAATAGGCTAGTCAAGTAGTGAGCCAATTTAGAATCGTTAGTTTCGTATTGATTGTTGCTAATAGTGAATTCGTTTATTATACAGTTCCAACCTGGATCGGGTATCTAGATTAGCTCTGCTTGTTTTCCGACAAACGTCAGTTTGATCGATTTTTTTTAAACCTACCTCAAGTTGAGGTTCGTACTGACAAAAAGTTTGGACTCACTCTGAGTTGGAACTGGTTTCAACCTCGATAATAAACGAATTCGCTACGCTACTACCATAGAGGTAACTCTAAGACTAGAAGGTCCCCAAGAAACGTGCTCAACTTTCTAGGTCAGCTCTGGTACTCTCTTCGGTCCCAAGCTAATCGATGCACCCCTCGAAACATAGGAAAATCTACGAACCCCCCATTTTATCTGTCGAACTCCCATAGCGAATCAAAACAAACATAGTGTAGTACTAGAATTTCGACTAAAATGGGGTACGTTAATCGATTTGCTTGGGACCAATAGGCTAGTCAAGTAGTGAGCCAATTTTAAATCGTTAGTTTCCACCGGTTGCTACTACCATAGAGGTAACTCTAAGACCACTGGGTCCCGAAGAAAATCATTATTATTTTTGGCTCACTCAGTAAAGGGTGTCCACGATGAAATTGCCACACTATGAAATTGCTCTAACTTTTTAACCGTTGGGTAGAATTTAATGAAAATTTGGGTGGATTTAGTTCATAGTGCATTATGCACATCCTGCAAGTTTTAAAGTCCTGTGATCAAAACTCGCGGAAACGGTGTCGAAAGAACAGCTCGTGCGTGATAAAATCTTGCGCATTCATCACGAGAACAAGGATCTCTCGCATCGTTCCATCGCTAAAACGTTGGGAATCGCGAATTCCACGGTGTCGCGAGTGATTAAGCGGTTCGAGGAACGGTTGACCACCGATCGGAAGCCCAGAAGTGAAGGAAAAAGTATTCCGTACAACACCAAAAATCACAACCGCGTAGTTGGGGCCTTCAACCGAAATCCGAACGCCTCCGTTAGGGATGTGGCTAAGAAGCTGCACCTAAGCCGAAGTTTTGTCCAGGAGGCCAAAACTAAGGCTGGGCTTCGAACGTTCAAGGTACAAAAGGCCCCTAATCGTGACGAGAAGCAGAACAAGTCCGCCAAAACCCGTGCCAGGAAGTTGTACCTCAACATGCTGACGAAAGTTGAATGCTGCATCATGGACGACGAAACATATGTGAAGGCCGACTTCAAACAGATCCCCGGCAACCTGTTTTTCACGGCCAAGGATAAGTTAAGCGTTCCGGAGCATGTCCGCACTCAGAAGATGTCCAAATTTGCGAAAAAATTCCTGGTTTGGCAAGCCATCTGCACGTGCGGGAAGCGGAGTGCACCTTTCGTGACCCAGGACTCGATGAACGGACAGGTGTACATGAAAGAGTGCCTCCAGAAGCGGCTGCTTCCTCTCCTGAAGGCCCACAACGTCCCAACAATCTTCTGGCCGGATTTGGCCTCATGCCACTACTCCAAGGACGTGCTGAAGTGGTATGCGGACAATAAGGTCAATTTCGTGCAGAAAATGTTCAACCCTCCCAACACTCCGGAGCTCCGCCCCATCGAGAAGTACTGGGCGATTATGAAGCAGCACCTTCTTAAACGACCTAAGGTAGTGAAGACAGTCGAGGAACTGAAGAAAGTATGGGTTTACATGCAAAAAACGGTTGATTCACAGGTTGTGCAGAATCTTATGGCCGGGGTTAAGGCCAAGGTGCGGGCATTTGCGTATGGACTGTAAATAAAATACGAGTAAAATGGTAAAATGAAGTTTAATAGTTATTTCTCAATCCCTGAAAATTTGATGGCAATCGGATGAAAACTCGAATTTTGCAAATCAATTTTGTGTGTGGCAATTTCATCGTGGACACCCTTTACCAGAACAACGGTCCCAAGCAGTCCCAAGCTATTTCACTCACCCCTGCATGTTCTGCATGAATCCACACACCCCTGATGTTATCTGTCAAACTTTCATAGCGAATCAAAACAAACATAGTGTAGTAATAGAATTTCAACTAGAATAGGGTACGTTAATCGTTTG